AAACTTTACTTCCATTTATAATTCAGATATTTTTGTTTTGAGGGTACTATTTTCTTCCATAATAAATTTCATCTTTTCGTCAAGCGAAGAGCTTGATTATTAAGTTTCTTGTCTAGTATTGATATTAGCTTTTCCATATATTTTTCCTCCATTTTTTAGGGTAATTTTACTGCTATGGCAGCACTGTATTTTAGTTGGCAGCCCTAGATTCTGTTTGGCAACACTAGGTTCCGTTAAGTAACACTGAATTCTGGTAGGCAACACTTTGTTAATGTCACTTCTTGAAAGTTGTCTATGGTAGCGGTGGGTAGTAGCGGCTTCTTTGAGTAACGAAACGAAACTATCTATCGAATATCAATAGGGGCTTTTGAAACACTATTTTAATAGAGGGTTTTGAAACACTCTCATTTTAACCTTTTGAGCGCCACGCCAAAAACTCACTACCGTGTCCTGTACGCCAAGGCGAAAAGTAAACAAAAATACCTACGAAAAAAAACAGTGCTGCCAAGAGTTGATTGCATATCGATATCGATAACACAAAATAACTTGTTTTTGTTGGTTTTTTATACAATAAATGACTCTTTATAATCGGGTATGTTTGATTTAATCTTGTGCTGTCTTCCACTCTTTTTATATATGTACTTTGTACATAAATAAAAAAGAAACAATAACAATAAAATAGTAGTAAACCACAACACTACTCTCCATCGTGATGACGTCACTGTCACGACTGGACGACAACGGCGTAGCTGACCTTTCTTTTTGAAACTTTCTTAGAGATGTAGCCGTGTCGCACGTTGTGTATCGATTTCAAAATCGATCTAACCAAAATATACAGACATCGATTCTAAATATTTTATGGCGAGGCGTAGGCCAAGTGAATCACAGAAGAAAAGTCTTACGCTCTTATGACAATGGGGGTTTCATATGATGCTGATGTTGCTAAATGATTTTGGATTAAGAAAGAAAATCGCACAACACAAAATGAAAAATTGCTCTTCATACCTTAAGTAAAGAAAACACATTTATTATTTGTAATTATATATTATTAAAATAAAAAGGTACATAATTATTCACTAATCAACAATTGTATATAGGTAATTATTCGCACTAGAAAAATCAGTCTTATAATATTAAAATCTTGGTCAAGGAATAAAAAATCAGTACTTATTACAGAAATCAACAAATGGTACATAATTATCGACCAATCAACAATTGTAAATAATTATTTACCCTAGGTCTAGTCTTAAAATATTAAAATCTTGGTCTTTAACTCAATCAGTATTTAATATAGAAAACAACAATTAAAAATAATTAATAAATTATAGGTAATATTAGTCTTAAAATAATAAAAATCTTATGGAATAATAAAACAAATGTTTAGCTGTCCAAAGCAAATTTTCTAACGTGGTAGAGCCATGCTGCAGTTATATTACGAGAGAGTAGTTGTAGCACGAATGGGTCGGCTCAACCGGGGAAGAACCACGCTCTCACGGAATACCGGCGTCAAATAGTAGCTTAATGCTGCTGTATTTCGTATGGCAAGTGTAGAGAACCGGAGACCCTCTTTACTGGAAACTAGGCATTCCATCTAAGTCCTCACGGGTGAGAGCGCATCTGCATTTTGATTCGTAATCGAGGATAGATGTAAATGTCTATGGGCCACAGCAACCACTTACCATCAGGTGGACTGCGTGCTCGTTTATTACCCTATGCTATAAAAAAGAAATTAACCGTAAAAAACTATAAAGTGTATTCCTACCTCATTGAGGTAGAGTTAATCGAAAATGAAAAACTTTGGTTTCATGATAATTTTAATGTGCCACAAAAGAGCAATTTAGTACTAAGTCGACACGCTATTTTAGATCTTAATGTTTTACCATTACATTGATTTTTAGTCTACTCACAATACTACTCGAAACGATTGTAATGCCGAAAGGTAGAAAGTCGATATACTATTTTGGACCTTAATGCTTTTTCATTACGTTGATTTATGATTTATGGTCTACTCACGGTACTTACTTTTCGGAAGGATTATGGTGAAATATGGCTTAAGATATTTATTTCGCTAAACAATATTACCATTCGCTTTTTGACAGAAAAAATATTTACTAGTTGCAGTATAAAAGTAAACGAACATGATGAGTTATTCTAAACTCGAAAACAAAAACATAAAAAATGTGCTCACAAGAGTCGCCCGGGAAACAGTTCCATTATGTATCGAACTTATTATATTTAAAATTAAACAAAATATTATAAAATAATAGATACATAAAATAGGCAATATGCATGTAGTAAAATAAGTTTAATTTATTAGGAACTTAAGACACTTACCTCACTTAAATCTTCAGGTAATGATTCAGATTCCGAAAATTCATCATCGTCGACGCTTTCCAAAATCCGAATGAGTTCTGAGGCTGAGGAATCGTTCATATTGCACTGCACTAATTTTCCCGCTAATCGCTTATGACGTCATCAGCGTGTCGTCTATACTAGACTACGGCGCCCAGTGAACTGATTTTCGATGTCTCGCTAAGGATGCGCCAGAGTTGAGATATTAGATTTATTATGCGAAGATAATTTGATAATTTTTTTTAATTCATGTAGCTAATTATAGTTTTATATTTCTAACCTTTTGTTTTATTTAAATATCAATAATAATAGAAAAAAAAAATAACACGTTTGAGCTTAATTTTGAATAGTTTTCAATAAATTTATGCCTAACGCATTACAAAACTAGCGGTCTAACATAGACGACTTTGGCGTGCTGGACATAGTATTTGCTGAGATAAAAATCCATTTTTTTTAGTTCAATGTTTCTTAGTACTTGTGGCTCTAGGAGACTTGTTTTTTATACTCACATGTTGCTGGGTTATTCGTTTTTGAGGGGTGTAGAATTAAAATACCAGTAATAATTTTCCAATGTCTATATTTAATATTTTTGTGGGCCGGGTTTTTTGTCAACTATAGACGTCGTTGGCGCTCAGGGCACGCAGGTGCTGGTCACGTATAGACGACTTTGGCGCTCAAAACGGCTTCAATAGAGTGTTTCACGACGTGTTCAATTGAAAAACGTTGCGACCGTTGTTACCGTTTCGTATAGAATTAGACATGGTGATAATGGTTAAATTTATTTATTTGTTAAATCAGTTCGCACGGTTTGATAAAAATATCACTTCAAAGTACACTGGCATTACTTCGAGACATTTTTGATAACTATCACATAAAATTTTAGTATTATTTTTACACTTAGTTACTTACACTAACTACTTCTGGATTTTGCCCGTTATTGTTTTGTTAAGCAATCTTGGTTAAAATACGGTTGATTACACCTTTTTTTGCACACAACTCGAGTATATATTCGCGGAGAACGTTGACGCACGTCCAATCAGTTCAATGACCGGAACCGGGAGTCCCGGGAGTATCGTAGTTTACAAACATAAATTACACAAGGACAAACATCCAGACCCGGAACAATTACTTGTTGGCCATATAAATACTTGCTCCGTGCGGGATTCGAACCCGGGATTTTCAGATAAGCATGTTTTCTCACGAAGTAGAAGCACTTAAAATCGTAACTGTCATCCTCGTTCTAGTCATTCTCCATACAGCCTTACCGTCTTTCATTTATACTTGCTCTATCTTTTTTATACATTCTGGTCAGTTTATAACTACTGGTAGATATATAACTATGACAATGGTACCTATAAAAGTAGGACTATGTGGGTCGCGTTAGAAATTTGGAGTGACAATTACTGCTATACTGCGGATGTCTGGCAAAATTTGTGATACCACGCCACCTTGGGCGAAAATCTGTTAATTTTCCTTATACATGATTTGTTATCGCAGTCCACCACAAGTCCACTGGTGAACAAAGGCCTAATCCAAAGATTGATTTGCATTTATCATTGGGAAGTCACTCCATCTAGCTCGCTCAATACTGCACTTGCCAGTAAGAGGTTGGTTGGTTCAGAAGGTTCTTCGAGCTATATGATCGACCCATTGCCATTTCAGCTTACTGATCCCCTGGACTATGTCAGTTACTCTACAGATTCATTCCATCGCACGCTTAGTGACTTTGAGCTTTCTCATACTGGCCGCAGTAAATGCAGAGACACAGGAATATAGGCCTCACATTTTTGACTGCTGCTCTTAATATACTTAAAAAAAAAACGCCGGAATAATTCTCAGGTTAATGCAAACATAAGGATATCCGACTGACCCGAGCGACACCTATTCAAATAAAACTAAGAGCCAACTGTCTAATAGCAGAGAATAAATAATAGGTATTATAATAGCATTAACACCATAAAAATATATAAATACACCGATTCACTTCTGGCAACTGGCAAACCTTCCAAACTTGTGAGAAGCCTGGATTGTGTTTATTTAAAACAGGACAACAGAATAAAATATCATCATTACAGCCTATCAAACTCCACTCCTGTTTATACCTCCCCCCATAAAGTGCTCATAGGGGGGATATTCATCCATTTTTATTATATTGAACTAGAGGAAGACGCCTGCATATCTCCCATTTCATACCACTCTGCCGCCTTTTATAACTCCCACGGGATGGTATGTCCCTTACTTCGTCAATACATGGCGCTAATAAAATGACGGTATATAAATATATAAACAAATGTTTAGATAATTAATGTAAAAACAAATAAGCTACTGTTATTCTTATCACTAATTTATTTTCTTAACTGCGCGACCTTCGACCGCACATTACGAAAGTTTGATAAAATTGTCTTAGTTTAGTTGCCGTATGGTGCTATAAATTGGTTAACGTAATGAATATTAAAATGTTGAGTTCCAGATGTATAACGCGAGTTTTATGTATAAAACAGTCAAATTTAAAAATCTTGAGCATACAGCGTTTGTACAGTGAAAATGTTTGTAAAACCCAAAAGACGCCTTTGTACGAACTTCACGAAAAGTATGGAGGTAAGCTGGTTGATTTTGCCGGTTTCCTACTACCAGTTCAGTACGCAGACATGAGCGTTTCCTCATCCCATTTATTTACCAGAAGCAGCTCATCAATTTTTGACGTATCCCATATGTTGCAAACAAATGTTTACGGCAAGGACTGCATTTCTTGGTTTGAGTCAATATGTCCGGTGGATTTGAAAGGAATGGCCGAGGGGACCAGTTCACTGACAATTTTTCTAAATAAAAATGGAGGAATTATCGACGATTTGATTGTAACTAAAGTAAAAGATGACCAATTGTACATTGTGTCAAACGCTGGACGGATTGATGTTGATAAACAGCATATGCAAGAAACTTCTGAGGCATTTAAAAAGAACGGTAAAGATTTAAGTATCGATTTTTTTAGTATTACTCAAAGGGCTCTTATAGCTGTTCAAGGTCCAAAAGCAGCATCCGTATTGCAACCACTTACAAACATTTCGCTAAAAGACCTGATGTTTATGACCTCTACAGTGGGACAAGTAGCAGGGGTAGATTGTCGCGTGACTCGTTGTGGTTACACGGGAGAAGACGGAGTGGAAATATCAATACCGGCTGACAAGGCAAACATGGTAACTGAAGCCTTATTACAATCTAGTGACGTAAAACTTGCGGGCTTGGGCGCTCGTGACTCGCTTCGTCTAGAAGCTGGATTATGTTTGTATGGAAACGATATTGATGAGAGTGTGACACCCGTAGAAGCAAATTTGACTTGGTTGATTGCTAAAAGGCGGAGAGGGGAGGCCAATTTTCCCGGTGCTGACATAATAATGCGACAGATTAAAGAAGGTGTCAGTAAAAGGAGGATAGGAATACGGATAGAGAAAGGTGCTCCCGCAAGAAAAGATGCTATACTCAAAGACAAGGAAGGAAGAGATGTTGGTAAAATATCCAGTGGTTGCCCAAGTCCGTCATTAGGAGGAAATGTTGCCATGGGATATGTTGCTGAGCAACTGAAGAAGCCTGGAACTGAACTATTAGTTAACATCAGAGGAAAGGATGTACCTTGTAGCGTATCCAAAATGCCTTTTATTCCTTCAAGGTATTATGTGAAGAAATAAAATAAATTCGATCATCAATAAAATAAATCTTTATTATATTTTTAAATCTAACATAAAAAATAATTAAGTAATGCAAATTCTTCCTAAATTTCACATTTTTAAACTTAAAATATATGTATACAAAAATATAAGAGTAAGTAGTTAACATTACCAATTATTTGCAAAGCAACCATTGAGCAATAATAAATAAATTCGAAAATATAACATTTTTGTATTTAACATTTATTTCAATACTAGGATCTTGCAAAAGTGGAATAATAAGGAATGTAAAGATATTTTATATATATTTAATACTGGTAATTACATTATATGTGTACTTTACTATCACAGAAGTATTTTGACACTTCGAAATATTCCATAAACAAATATATTTATATTTTATTAAACCAACCTCTGAGAAAAGCCATAGATTAAGAAGGTTAAAGAAATTCTTATTTTAAAATCGTAGTTTGTACTTGCATTGCCTTTATCAAACCCTTAAACCAAACTTATGTAATAAATATATACATACATATTTTTAATTTAATTATTTAATATTAAGTACACTTTTATCTCCAATCATGGTCCCATGCATACCATAGGATTATGCTTTTAAACTATCTTTGTACATTTTTTTTTCATAATATGAATAGGTAAACATGCTTTATAATCTGTAGTACATGTCACTTCCCATTTTGTGCCGTTTTAAAATCATCTTGTGCGAGGCGGGAAAAATCTTCATTTAGTTTATTTATCATTTCCGTACACTGAAAAGGGCGATAAATATAAGTAACGGAATATGTAATTAATAACATTTTACTAGGTTGTATAAACATCCTTTGTTGCCCAGTAGTAATTTCTGCTGTCGAGCGCAGTGCTAGAACTTCTGTTCTAGTCTGAAAGTCTGAGCCAGTACATCTCAGAGTCATATCTCAGTATATCAATATATCTTAGTCCTCAGAGGCGGCAAGGCATCTGCAGCCTTCTTTGTTGCAAGCTGGCCACATATGACCATATACTGCAGTGTACACTTAACATCAGGTGGACGGTTGGTTCGCTTATCTCTTCAATTTTATAGAAAAACAAAAACATTTAGAAACAGCATAAATCATTTTTACTTTAATATTTTTTCAATTTTAAACTTTGACAATGAGAGCATCCATCCTTTTTCTGCCACCAGGGTGCGACTGCAAAAATGAGGTGTAATATTTGACAGATTTTATAGCAGGGAAGTTAATTTGTTATATATGAGGCAATATGTGGGAGTCGCCTATGTTCAGCTGTGGACTTTAATAGGCTGTAGCAGTAACACAAAAAATCTTCACCTCAGTTTCAACTACCGACATCTGTAGGCGGAAGATTATTAGCCCTCGTTGAAGCTGTAACCATTCATTTATCACTTGAGAGTAGTTTTTTTAAGCATTACAAGCAGGCTGGCGTGTATAGTAAAGTTATACATGCCTTTTGACGCATTAATGGTACTGCGTATATTTTATATTTAACAATGATTTAGAACGATTGTGAAACAAAATACCATAGTAAAGTAAAGTTACAGCCTATATACGTCCCACTGCTGGGTACAGGCCTCCCCTCATTTTTGAGAGGGTTTTAGGGCAAGGAAGTGTCCGCCGCGCTGCCCCAATGCGTGTTGGCGAACTTCACTTGTCTTTCGAAATATTTTTTTCTTATTCCTCAGACATGCAGGTTTCCTCACGATGTTTTCCTTCACCGCCGAGCACGTGGTAAATCAGCACTTAAAATTGCAATTAACAATTTCATTGGTGCCGTCGGGGATCGAACCCGGGTTAATCGCGTTCTGTTATAATTACAGCGAGCGTTAAATACCATGATTTCTACTAATAATTATACTAAGCAATGCATATTCTTTATTTACTATAATTAATTTGACTTCTTCATCTTTATCCCTTCGCAGATTTGCTTTAATCACAACGCTTATGTAATCGCATCCTTATCTTAATCGCAGCCTTAGCTTAACAGACTTACGTCATATTCTTCATATTGTTGAACTTGGGTCCTCTTCCCTCTATTCTTCTCTTCTTGTATCCTGCAGTTTATGTGGTAATTAATCTGACTTTGAAGTTTCACAAAAATCTTTCTGTACTCATCTTGAATTCTATTAATTTCATTGTTAACATGCGTGTCTTTTTTCGCCATATAATCCTGTGAAATGTTAAATAGATAAGATAAGAATTAAAATGATTTTTTGTGTTTAAAATCTCATACCCATATAGTAGTAAAATATATCATACACCTTTAAAATATAACTTACAACTATGTCGCCGTTTAAATTCTTAAAATTTTAAAAAATACGATTAATATGTGTGCATAAACGAACAAGTTAACGACCTTAGACATGATAATAATAAAGTCTCATATTTTAATTATGCCATACATAATGTGATTTCTACCCTCATCGGGTTAAATCATAATTTCATTAATTGCACATATATATGTTCTTGCAATTAATGAAGACGTTGCGAGATGACAGCGCTCTGTTTAAAGAAGATATATACATATTATATAAAATTCCGGTATGCGTCTTCATAATGGAGAAGATAACCATTTTTTGTTTTAATGCCAAAAAATTCTACAAAAAATTATGAGAATAACTGTGTTTTTAAATTTTTTCTATCTTCAAAACTGACCGAGATATAAAGGCGCAAAGTTAACATTTTCGATCTAAGCCGCGGGCCGACCGCGACATCGTTGATGACGTCACAAGTTCCATCTTCGTGCGAGCGACCCGACGCGCACTTAGAAAATCAAAACATTTACTCGAATGTGCCCGTCGCATGTGGATCTATCTATTTTTAACAAGAAACATTATAGTAGAACATGACACCATCTATTAAATATTGTGCTGTGCCTCAATGTAAAAATACGGCCACAAAAACACCTGAAAAGTTGTTTTTTAATGTGCCTAGAAACCCTACCATCAGAAAAAAAAATGGACAAATGTTATGAGAAGAGCACATCCTTTAGGACCGAACACGGTAGCATTTTGTTGTGAGGATCATTTCGATGTAAGTATTCAAATAATAATAACCTTCACATGATAGGTCTTGGTTATTGCTAGTAAATGCTTTCTATTAGGCATGTAGGTACCTACTCGAGTCGCAGTGTTTAAGTAACTAACGATTCATTGAACCTTTCCACGCTTAATGATCATTATAATTTCATGAAGAAACAATACCTAATACCTACATATTTAACAAAAACTACTTCAGTGTAAATAAACATCCAAACTTGGGTAAAGTACCTATGTAATGTAGATAAGTCAATGACCTGTCGTGAGTTCGTAAGTTTAGATACCTACCTATGTTTGCAGTAAATTTTAAAATGTTTATAATGCATATAAAGTTTAAAATATGGAATATGTTAACAAACGTCTTTAATATTTTTACGATATTTCGAGCAAAAACTAAACACACACGCAGAGCTGTTCAACTTTCATACTTTGCGGGCCGCAAATAATGGAATAAGTTTGATTATGAAGTGGAGCACTTAAATTTTTTTCGTGTTGTCGTATTTTTATGTATTACATAGTTGGTACATATTTTAAATATTGATGGAATACAAATTACGAGGTTCCTTATTTTTTTATAGACTTTAAATAAGTTTGTATTTTGTTCTAGGTCGAAAACGATATGGAAAACTACGTGAAGTATAAACTAGTTTGTGGTCGCCTCAAACTTAAGATGTTTATGTAATTCACAATTTTAAAAGCAAAATTATCACACGTTTATTCAACGAAATCAACGGAACTTCAATGACAATGACAAGATTCTTTTTATTTTTTCTATAGACGTTACTAGTAGTAACGTATATCATACAGCCAAGTTCATAATGAACATAGTCACGGTCTTATTCCACAGAGAAAGATAAAGAAAGAAAAAAATAAACGAATTTAGCCGCGAAATGCGACCTTGTTTTAATGGCGTGTTTAAATAAATTTAATTTTAATTTTTTACTGGCTGAAATCAGCCACCTCACAGACGAGACCGAGAGGCTGAACCTATTCTTATCATTAGCAAATGAAACCCAGAAGTATTAATGTAATAAAATACCTAGGTTATAAAAATATTATCTTATTCTTATACCTACCTTTTCATTTTGACTCCGCGTATTTCAGCCGCGACAAAATCTTTGTTTCTTAGAAAATATTCCGCCACCATCATGTCACGGACTATTGGAAGGTTGTCAGATTGACCCTTTTGAAACCCTTCTTCCATCATTAAATACTTAAAAACGCCAGAGCGAACGAGGGCAAACAACTCACCCGCGAAATATTACTACAAACGTATGATCGGCGCGCTGGAACGGTATGGCGGCGCGGCCAGATGGAACGAATGAAGTCACGCGCTACTCGCGGGCACGGGCGAGATTTTAGAAATGTACGTAAACTTTCCACGCTTATAACTTCGGTAATAGTGCACCGATCGATGTGAAATAAAAACTAGAATTATGTGTTTGGTCTAGACTTTTTACCTACGTACTTAAAAATCTAATATTGTAACCTTGTTATCTTCTCCATTCTTCTCTGGCTTGATCAATTTTGATGAAATTTTTGTGGGGTACTTATGGGGTCTCCTGAATAGTTGTTAGGAACTAGTATGTATATAGATGAAGCCAGGACAGATCGCTAGTATTACGTAAAAAAATAACAAGTGTGTTTTACAAGTTTAATTTGACTTATGATTAAATGAGTAAAATTTGATTATATTTCATTCGTGTAAATAAAAGATCATCAAAATCAATAATTTTACAGATATTAATCTGTTAGTTAATAGAATCAGGCGTTACTTTGCGGAAATCCATTATATTAAAGATGTTAAGAGTTACTTCGCAACCATCCGCTCAATAAAATAAAACGATGTCTTACCTAGTTTGAAGAGCACCTCCCGTCTTCACTCAATTGCGTGCACTATCTCCCATCACCCTTATCCTAGCACCACTACTACCAACACCACTACTCTAGGAAAGACATACCATCGACGATA